CAAGCAGCCACGGTCTCGAATATAAACATTTGAAGGCAGACCCACAATACATCTTGTGAATAGAGCGCTCAGTTACGAACCTATAGTAGCTGTGTGACTCTACACAGAAAAAAAAGCTGGAAAATGGGGAACAGTATCCCCAAGAACCCCTGGCACCTAACTGTTGAGTTCTACGGACCTGCTCGTTTTACTAGCAGAGCGATATCCTGCCGCCTCTCGTTCTCTTATCATTTCTTCGCGTCATCCAATGCAAATACCATCTACAGTGAAAGAAAAAAGTAAAAACTGGACTCTTGGCAGAGAATAGCTTTTGGGTCTTAGTGGGCGGTACAACCAAGGAGGCTTCAGAACTGCCACTCACCTGAGGGCCACAGCGCTTTCGTAGCCGCAAAACAGGGGCAATTTCAGAAACCGCGGGCCAGACTACTTGTACAAGGAAGGACGCCTATGAGTCGCTTGAGCACGGGAGTGTCTTCAGGTGGTCGCTTCTGACCTGTGGCTTGAAGGTAATGTAATGCGTTGATCCCTTACTCATCGCCCATAATCAACTGCATCGTGGTGAGACATAGAAAATGGGAGACTTCTCCAACTACTTAACCCTTCCACCCCTCCACGCTTTGGACCTCTCTCAAACCGTGGATTCCGCGACAATGGCGAGCGTGCGTGCAGGTGAAGGATGGGCCATATATCCGCCAGTTTTACCATTGGAGTTGCCTGGGACGGTCAGCGAAGTTCATACGGTACAAGAAGGCCACCGTTGCTCGTCATAGTGCCAGACCCCGAGTAACTGTATTGTAGGGCAGTGCTGGGACACAAACAATACTGAGACCTGAGTTGCTGGCCAATCGAGTGTACTGTCCAGTGGCAAACGCTACTTTTTGTCATTCGCCGAAATTGGCATCAACAGCAATTTACTCGCACTTGTTGAAAAAACGAAGGTACCAGAGGTCCAAAGGCTTTCGGGGCACTGGGAGCGGGTCATTGATGAAGGAGGGATCTACCTAACTTAATGTCAAAATATTACTTTTTTATCTGTTTTCCTCTTCGTTTTATATGAATAAAACCTTCCACATTTTTGAATGGGATGACCTAATATATATTAGTGAACTTTTCATAGAGTGGTTCCTCCGGGTATGTGACAAGAGAATCGTAATTCACCGCGCGTGATCGTCGCGTGCGACGTCGCACCCGCAAATGACGATGGTTCCAGGTAGTAGATGGCGACAACAGGCAATTCAGAACCGAAAATAGTCATGAATGTCCACGATGACGGGGTCTACATGAAGTCCGGTGCTCCAGTCGACAGGTTAAGACGAGTTTAAAAAACCCCGCGCGGCGGAACGGCAAATTGCGATTCTTTTGCCCGTCTCCCGATTCCTCCTCGACGGGAGGATCAATACTCTAGATGGGGGAGGACACTTATGATGGTGCCCATACCATATCATTCACGTTCAGGCTCAAGTGAATAAAAATGGATAATTAATACTTTCCCCTCACGGTGTTTTTCCCTCTGAAGTGCGCCAGACGTTCGGCTCCGATCCGGAATCATGGTAGCTTTTGAAAGAAGTCTCTCTTCATAAAAAGAACGCTTTCCAGACGTAAGGACTAACCTGTCCCTGAAGGCTATAGTAACTCTACCATGTTAATAACAAGCACCATGTTGATCCGCGCAAGGTTCCCGCTGCTGACCATCGTCATGTATCATGCAGATGAGAACGCCACGATTGTGCCATATTGAGGAGTTACATTGGGTCAGGCTGGCATGATCATCACAGACCGATTGCAGTTACTGCCTTGGCTTTTCAAGCGCGCTTCTGTACAGAGAATTGAAATCGTGATCTGCTGTCGGTTTACAGGGATATTTCAAAAAAAGCTCACTTTCTTCATTTGTATTTCGGGCTGCTATAAGTTAACTTTATTTTTTTTTTTGAATTGTGATCGGGCACTTTTTTTACATTTATTTTTCTGGTACGAGCGTCGACATGTGGGGAGGATGTTCTTCACGAGTTGCCCAATATAACCGCCAGCGTCACCCTCAGTCCTGGTCCGAAGAAATCATTGACGTCATTTCATTCCAGTGTACAGTCCGTCAACATACCATCAACCCGCGCTCGGTGACTGCGGTGAAGATGATGTCCTAGAGGCGAGTTCGCGAGCTGCTCTCGATGATTGGAGTCTCCAGATCGAGTTAGTACTGGTCTTCAAGTAGCCATCTATGGGTGATTCCACACTAGAAGTTTCGCAGCTGTTTGGGTTGACGTGAATTCCAAAGGTCTTCTCCAGTCAGGCTGCGACTGTGGGTGATGACTTCATATTTTGGTGTACACGAAAGGTGATGGGCGAGTGCGAGCTTCTGCTTATAGAGGGACATCTTGGGTATCCTCCGCCCTGGTATTCGCTACACTCCACGTCCTTTGTCTGGCAGCGAAAACTTTTGCTGATATCGGTGCCACTCGGTTTAGAAGTGACCTTTTTTTTGCCCCCCCCCTGTATATTGCCTCATTCCTCGACAGTGAGATCGACAAATGGATAGCACCACACAACTATTGGGTTGGCGGGAAAGTTCTGTCATACTTTTTTGAACCCAACTATTCTCCTATTACCTGAAGACGCTAATTGATAATATGAGCATTTATACATTAAGGATTGATCTTTCTATTAGTGTCACTGGCTCGGCTCCTGCTCATCCTTATTCTGCATTATGGACAAGAATGTTATCCGCTACCTTCAGCACCGACCCCTTCAAGCGCCTATTTCTTCTACCACCCTAGCGCCAGCACGGCAGCTGTCGACGCCGAAATAATGGAGCTGCACAAGGACAATGGAGCACACCCCGTCAAAAAAAGTTCGAGCCGTACTTCACAAAGGGCTGATGGCTCTCCCTGCACGGCGCTGTAGTAAGAGAACATTGCTCTTTGCTGATCCGCTAGTCGCCTCCCCGTATTCAACCGCATATTACGTCGAGATAAACTCTCCACGACTTCGAGCCCAAGCCAACAGTTGAGATGATGTCCCAATCTTTGCTTTGCGCCTGCGGCATTGTTTACAGCGATCAGGCATCACGAACTGCTCCAAGAACTGGCAAGCATCTTCAATAGATGCTGTATAAATTTTTTGATTTTGTACGCTTCTTAGTAAAAAGAAAGTCTAATTGTAGAATGTGACAGAACTTTCCCGGACGATAATTACTATATTTGCCTAAGTTTTCAATGAATTATGATCAGTGGAACATAGCAGGTGCGAAAACGGTCATTATTTTTGCCACGACTTAATATTATCCTGCTGCCTTCTATGTCCGTTCTGTGCTGCTTGGATTCTTTTGTGTTGTCTTCTTTGTGTTGTGTTTTGTTTCCTGTTTGGTGCTTTATTTTTTTTCTTTCTTTTCATTCTGTCTTTTCGACCTGATTTACATGGTGTCAAGGAATGTAGCGCACCTAGGAGTGCATATAATAAATGAATAAATAAATAATTGAATAAATTTCTTTAACACCTTTCCACAGACGGTTTCCGAAATGATATTTCTTGAACCTCTTTCTCGCAAGGAACTCGAGAAAAAGTTCAGCGTCGGAGAAAAATGTTAACAATCATTTGTGGACTTTGCGAAGATCTTGAAAATATCGTACAACCGTTAGCCTTAGGATAGCCAGTCGGGAAAAACAAAACCATGAAGAAAAAAGTGGGAACACATGGCCGAGCCTTATCGCGCTAACTACTCTGCAGCGGTCGATACATTACTAAAGATGTTAAGCCGTACCGATTTTATTTTTCCTGTGGAGAATGCAGGGACCACTTGCTTGCGAACTCTGGACCAATTCAGTCCTTTCAGGGAGACCAGCGAAGTAGCCAATAGTGAAGTTTCATCAGAAGGATCGACGTTCAGAAGATTCTGAAGCGGAGTAACATTGCGGGCGAGGCCGTGCTCAGACCACCCTCCGCTGTTCTTTTTAATTTCCACTGTATTATGGAATTGAAAAAGTATCCAAGTCAACTTACAGTTCGATCTGTGAAGCAGTCAAAGTCCTTCACAAGCACTTGTCTAAGGATATCAAGATCAACTGATACCAGTTCCGGTGAAGACATCAGGAACATGCTGTAATAAAATTTATTTCTTTGACAAAGGTGGAAACACGCCAGTAAATATTAGGTGATCCCATTCACAAATGTGGAGACATATAGAGGAATGGCAGAAAAGCAAAGGGGATAGGGCAGCGGGCTACTATACCATTTGGAAGCTAGTACCTTTAGCTATGTATCTGTGAAATTTGGCGAACCTAGCCCCAGAAGAAGTTCTCGAGAAATTGAAAAGAAGCCCGAGTGGTGAAAATCAGCGCCGGATTTTTGAATCAGCGTCATAAGAGGAAAGTGCGCTGCTCAAACATGACCTATGCCGGAAGTTGCGTGCAGGGGTGTTCTCCAAATGCAAGGTGGAAGATTTGGATAATGTATTCTGTACAAGAAAAAAGGGTGGATGAAGTCAAGCGCTGAATGTCTGATCACAGAGCCTGGACCTTTGTCGAGCTTCCCCGCGAGACTGACATCCCTGCTGCAACTGCTGCCCGAGTTATGTCCGATAAACTGAGGATGGTGGGTGTGCGCATGGGTACCTAATTTTCTTGTAGAAGCACGAACGCAGTACCGATTCTATGCCTCTAGCAGTAATGTTCTCCGCATGTCGTTCACGACTGCCCCCAGCCCTAGATGAAACATGGGTGGCCTTGAACTCCGAGCGAAAACCAAAACTCACAAGCGTCAATTTTTTCGAATTTGGAAAATGTTTAGGAGCTTCGTCGTGATCCAACCACTGTCCTGACCGTCGTCTATTGTCGTATTGAATCCATTTTTCGTCACACCCACATGTTGCAGAAAAGGATCGTTTTTGTTTCGCAAAAGATGAGACGAACAGACTTCGAGACGACGAGATTGCTGGTGCTCAGTCAACTCATGCGGGATCCACTTGTCAAGTTTTTTTTACCTTCCCAATTTTCTTCAAATGACGTGCTACAGTTCCGAAGTCAACTCCCAGCTCTTCAGCAATTTCCCTTGTGGATGCTCTTGGGTTGGCTTCTATCTGTGCCTTCAATTCGTCGTCTTTAACTTCCGATGGCCGACCGCGTCCCTCCTGATCTTCCAGGTTGAAGTCTCCATTTCGGAATTTGTCGAACCACCTACGCGTGGTGCGCTCATTTGTAGTACCTTCGCCCCATGCGTTGGTGATATTCCTAGCTGCTTCCGCAGCATTACGGCCGAGTTTGTACTCGTGAAGCATGATGAGTCGGATTTCGCGTCTTGACAACATCTTCGCGGGTGACCCAAAATCGTAGAAGAAATGGTGGCAGAGAAACGGGAAAAATTTGTACGATAGCTTGAAAAATGTGCTTCCGAACGATATATTAAATTACTATATTTGCCTAAGTTTTCAATGAATTATGATCAGTGGAACATAGCAGGTGCGAAAACGGTCATTATTTTTGCCACGACCTAATATTATCCTGCTGCCTTCTATGTCCGTTCTGTGCTGCTTGGATTCTTTTGTGTTGTCTTCTTTGTGTTGTGTTTTGTTTCCTGTTTGGTGTTTTATATTTTTTTCTTTCTTTTCATTCTGTCTTTTCGAGCTGATTTACATGGTGTCAAGGAATGTAGCGCACCTAGGAGTGCATATAATAAATGAATAAATAAATAATTGAATAAAATTTCTTTAACACCTTTCCACAGACGGTTTCCGAAATGGTATTTCTTGAACCTCT